AAAATAACATCTGTATTATTTATTTTTCATAACATAAATTTTTAAATTTTGTATTTAGTTATCTGAATTTTGGATCTCTTGGAACGGTTATAGGACACGAAATAACTCATGGTTTTGATACGAATGGTATGATATTTATGATTATATATTTAATTAGATTTTTATTAACAGAAATAATAAATCGAATTATAATTTTATACTAAATGTTTTTACATTTTTTAATGCAAATTATATGTAAATTATAAATTATTTTGTACGATTTTAGTTTTAAATTAGTTATTGGGATGCAATTTGAAAAAATTGTAGACATATAAATTCCTAAAATCGTCCGTCCGTTTGTCTGTTCTTCCTTAATCTCTGCAATGAAATTACATAAATGAAAGACAAGACAAATTATGGAAAGATTAGAAGTAGGAAACACCAATTAACTATATGTAAACTTTCGTTGTAAACCGGAAATCATGTTATTTCAATTCTAAAGTTTTCCCTTGAAAGGTGTTAGATAAATAACCACGACTCTATTGTTAAAAGTATGCTGTATAGGAACAAGGCACTACTAATTTGAAGTGGAGAGTATATCCAAACACATGAAAATGACGGGGTGTTTGGATAGAGAAAAAATTGGCACCTCAGGAATCCGGATATTCCTCATAATCGTGACAATTAATTCGGATAACTGGAATTTTATTCTATATATAGGCCGATACATAACTTAATGATTAATATATAATGTTTTATTAACAGGAAGAAGAAGAGACAAGGTCGGAAATGTACCAAGTCATGAAATTTGGTCTGAAGATTCAATACAACAATATGAAAATAAAGCAGAGTGTTTTCGACAGCAGTATGATGGTTACTCAAAAGATTCTATAAAGGTTATTTATAATAAGAAAATATATTTTAAAATAGTATTTAAAGAAGAAATAAAAGTAATAAAGCTATGTATTTTATTAGGTGAATGGAACTACAACTTTAGCAGAAAATATCGCCGATAATGGAGCTATTAGAGAAGCATTAAAGGTACTGTAAGACTTTATAATTATGAATTACTAATTTCTGTAATTCACTACATCACTATAAACACAGACACTGTATTTGTACTTTCCATATTATTGTATATTAGTTAATTATGTTATCACTCTTATAAGGGTTATAGATACTGGCTTGAAAATCATCGTGAAGATAAAAAAGAAGCATCGTTAGTTGCATTAGACCACTTTACTCACGAGCAATTATTTTTTATTTCTTATGCACAGGTAATATTTATGCATTATTTTAAAAATATTTTTAATTATTTTATATTTAAATAATTTTCGTGTTTAGAGTTGGTGTCATACTGCTACAAAAAGATATCTAAAGGAAATAGAAGAAGATGAACACACTATTAATCAGTTTAGGTAAATCATTATTTCGGAAATTATATTTTAATCATTACGGTTATTTTGGAATTTTAATAGTAAATTAATTATTACTGTAATATAGTTTTAAAAACAATTGAAAATATTTATTTTTACAGAGTTATAGGCACGTTATCTAACTCTGAAGACTTTTCTGAAGCATTTCGCTGCACTGATAAAAACAAGATGATCCGTTTGGATAAATGTAAACTATGGTAATATTTATTAATTTATTTGCTGTGTTTTCAAAATTAATATGCATATCTTAAATATAAAAATGATCTGATATACAGATTAACTTGTTACTCTCATCTATGCTATAGAATAGATGATATTGTAACTTCTGCACCTTTCGTTATTTAAAAAAAGAATTATGTAGCAATATTGAAAAACTTATTTTAGTTATAACAATGTAAATTCTATATTTCAATGTTGGCTATGTATCTTTTGAAAATAAAATCGTGATTTTTTAATCTTTAATGCGTTAATAAAAAGTCCCTATAATTTAAATGTTTTAAATTCGAAAAAAATAAGAATTTCGATAGATAATTAATTTTACATATACAGTATATTATCTATATACAGTAGAGCATCGATTATCCGACTCAGTTGGGGACTGGGGTTGGTCGGATAATTGAAAAGTCGGATAACCGAAAAGTATGAAAAAATCCATTATTAGTGTAGTATATTATTATATCCCATGTAATTAGTATATTAGTATATCGCTATTAACCTACTTCGCGTTGAATTTTCATCGATGTTAAGCCTAACAAAAATTTTTTAAAATAATAATCGTCGCTATTGTATCGTTAAAAATTAGAAAATTAAGCCTCGTTTAAATACTGGCTCCCTTTCATGGTCGAGCCGTGTTGCCAGCTAAAACACACAAAAATACTATTAAAGTAGCCAAGACATAGCCAAATATTATAGCGCTACATCACTAGCGGACATTTGAATTCGCCGACTAGAACGCGGTCGGTTAACCGAGGTGACAGTTAATCGGGTCGGATAATCGATGCTCTACTGTATATAAATGAGTATATGTAATGTGTGTTTGTCTGGCTGTTTGTTTGCTTGTTTGTTTGTTTGTTATACACGCCTAGGCCGTTCGACCAATTGGTACGAAACTCAGCAGTTACGTTTAAACGCTTTTAACTTAGATAATGTCGTACATCTCATCCCAAATTATGAATTGGATTTTTATATATCGATTAATTTGTTTACATTCAATTGTCTACATTCTTTACACGTAGCTCCATCTATTGGAAAATAACTTAACAAAATAATTAACTAAATATAATTCTTATAAAAAAACTTATAATTTAAAAAATATATACATTATATTCACTGAATTACTGCGACAATGATATAGCACTTGCCGGTGTGGATTGTTGTACTGTTTGCTCCTGTACATCATACTTTTCCTGTTAGCAATAGAGTCGTGCTGGTTACGTATCTAACTCCGTTCAGTGGAAAATTTTTGAAATGAAATAAATTTCCAATTTTTAACGCGAGTCGCGTTACGTATAGTTAATCTGGTCCTCTCTAATAATTTTCACATTTGGTTTCGATTTTCATTTATCTAACTCCATTGTTAAGATTAAAGAAGAAGGAGACAGAAGGGACGTCAGTCGGAATTTACACATCTACAATTTTTTCAATTTGCAGCCCAATAATTTGTAATAATGATCATTTTATACCTCAAACCATAGATTATAAATTCAGATTGTCATATCTTTTATCTGTAAATGTTCTAGTATTATTGTTAAAACACTAATGTGTTTAAAGTTCCATTTTGCTACACAAACAGTCATTCTAAGGGTTGAACTATTTTATGGCTTCTTATCTCTGCTCTATAGATTATGCATTAAATTTCACCTTTACAACCTGATATTTTGAAAAAAGAACTATTCACAACAACGATTACAATTCAGATGGTGATCACCGACCAAATCAATCAATCATAACTCGCCTTCTTTGCTGAAAATTCAATCCCGCGAGCAGAGAATGCCTCGATCATCCGGTATTATCATTGAACTGTATATAGGCAAAATTGTTCTGCAGGGCACGAAATAAATTGTAGTCAGTTAGCGCTAAGGTTGGGCTTTTTTCAACTCTCCCCTCTGTGAGCACTAAGAGGACCTCTTTTAGCAAGCAAATTATGGTTTCGGCTAGGCACACAATGGGGCGACCGGGTGGTGAAGGACAGGGCCCGACGTATCCGAACGGACTACCCCCCGAAAAATTCCTGAGGATTTTTCGGCCCGTTTGGATTCGTTTTCGGGTCACCAGAGCGGTATGCTGCCACTTGACCGCTCGGCCATCCGGCCGTCACTGAGTCTGGGCTATAAAGTTCATTAGCCTATTTTGGCCAGCTTCTCTAAAGGTGCATGTACTGGCACGTTGTGGCAGTAACGAATTTTATCAATTTTTGGACGAAGTTGTTTGATCTCTGTTCAAAACGATCCAGTTATTTTCAGTAGCGTTCTTGCGTGACAGTGATGTTGATTGGAAGCAGCTCCATTATGACGCCAAACAAACGAATATTGCCTCCTGCACTATCGGCCTTTTGACTTTTGCAATATCGGTTGACCTTTTTTTACACACGAACGCTTTAACAAACGTTTTGCAGATCTGAGATGCTTCTAACATTTCCCGATATGAAGCGATTTCCGCAGGGAAGCTGTTTTAAAACCCGTCACTACGATACTTGTGAGCGGCAAAGAGCAGGATGCATTATACGTATGCTAACATATAATGCATCCTGCCATTAGTCCCATATGAAAAATTTCTAAAATAATTCTTTTCTCCGCGGAAATCACATTATGTCCGGAATTGTCAGCATTCAAAATTTGATTTTGGACTATTATCACTCTTGACATCGTTAAAAATAATTAAACAGGCCTACTACTATAGTACTATAGCATAATATAACGGGGTAGTTACAATTAAAGTTTTTATTTTAATGTACAATTCATATTTTGCATTATAAGAGACACCACCAAATAATTTGAGTGTTAATATGGTAAAGGTAATTTCAGTCAACTGTGCTGAAAATTTGTGCAAGTTTCATACCTATTTAAATTAAATATACATGTATATTATTTATTCAGATGTCAATTATATAGATTAGTAATTAAAAACAAAGAGTTTCTTTGTCGAGACTGGTCTGAATATATCCCATTACATCCGAAAAGAACTTAATTTTGTTTGTTTAAACGAACAAAAGAACGAAAACGAAAAATTTATTTTTGAAACTTTAGCCTTTATGATGCATACTTTTGCATTTAATCAGTTTATTTCAGAACTGATGTTTGACACAGTTTCAGAATTTAAAAATAATAATAATAAATTAAGATAAATATAAAACGAGTTTAATTAGATGCGAATTGATTAACACAGCAATCTTGTAAAATAGAACTTGAAATCTTGCAATTCAACAACGAACGTTACCATACAACACATTTTTTAGCAGGATTCATTAATGAATCATCTTTACATTGAAATACTTCGGAGAAACTGGCAAAATTGGAAAGTGGACCTATAACCCTGAAAAATAAAAATAAAATTAAATAATATTCATTATTTTATATAATTTATTTCAATAGCTGTTAAACAAGATTAGGCTGATCAAGCATTGTTATACATGTAACAACGATCGCTTCAAAAAGAAATAGAAATAATATATATATTCTGTAATATCAGAAGTTGCAAGTCCAAATTTTTTAACCGTAATCGGCTGATAACATTAAACAGAGGCTAAATTTATTATTGAACTTAATTGATTACAATTATTGTACGAGTATGTACCGGTACAATTTATATTTAACACAAATGTACACTTAATACAACATTACACATTTATACACAGTACATTTCTTTTAAAAACAGTTGTTTTTAACTCAACAGGTTACAAAATTAAACGAGAGAAATTGTAACAGAATGTACCATACTGTACATCCCCAAAGGTAGGCTTCAAGATCTACAAAATACGTATTTTCGAAGTAGTTTTGTCATGTCCTCATAGTATAACAAAGATAAAAAAAGGTATGCTTCGGTTAAAAGTTTCGAAGAATGGTCTATTGAGTAAGCTTTTTCTAAGAATTCTTATCGTTTGCCCCCAAATGCATTCGGCTATTATCACAATTGATGATAATAGCCAAAGTTTGATTATAATAGGCAGATTATTTTTATATATGTAGTGTTTTGGGGCCGACTGATTATGATAAATAGGCAATTGATAACATTAGTGATTATAATCACCGGATTCCACTGTATATAATAGTACAAAAAACAAACACTCTTTGACAAAAAAGTTGCAAGAAAGAAGCGTTGAAATTTTTTCCCATTTCAGTGCGAAAATATTGTTTTTGTTTGCGAGTGTGTGTAAATAAGAAGATAATCTACTGTAGACTATCTTTCACATTGAAGTAAAAAGCAGAACTAAAATATTTATGTGCAAATTACACTGCTCTGGCCATTAAAATTGCTATACCAGGAAGGAAAGCAAATAGAAGAATTATGTTTATTGTACACATACAGTAAAATGGGGAAAGAGACGTGATTGAATTGACAGGTAACCTTGAGGTACAGAACACTCAGCATATTGTACCTTTCAAGCAAATTTCGCTTTTGTTGCGTGAGGCCTTCTTGGTGTAGCAATTGTAATGACCAGTAGTGTATATCATTCAAATTTCTTATATTAAAATCAATATTTATATTGATAACTTATTAGAAATAACCCCAATCGTGTTACCTATGTACAAAAAATTAACAATACCTACCTATATCTATTAAGAGAATGAACGTCTTTATCTAATACTGTCTTTTTAAATTCTTCACTTGATTTTGAACACCAGATCTAAAAACATTAAAATTTCAAACAGTTATTCTTAAATATTAGAATAATTTACAAATATATTCGCTTGAAAATTAGATAAAAATTACAATATAGGCCTACTGTTAATTTCTGAATTATCGTCGAAACTAAAAAAACAAACATTCTTTAACCTTATCTTGTATTTTGCTGTGTGAAGGGCTGCATTGACTATTAAAATGCTATAAACTGGTAACAACTGTCGACATGAACTATAACTCTAATCTTAACTACCGGTCTCGAGATGTGTCCGATTGTGGCTTGTGCTAGGAAATATCGTCCCTACATACAAAATATGCCGAATTTTGTTACGGGTCATCCGAACAGATTGTCGAATTCATCGTAACTAAATTTATGGGGGCACGATTCCCAAGGCTATTTCGGAATCTTATGTATATAATTACCATTTATATAAATTGTATATATATTGAAAGAAGACTTGGATTTTTAACTTGACTAATATAGCTATTAAAACAATACAGATTTACTTTTAAAAAAGTCACAAAAATTATCAACAGATAGAAATTTACATAATATATTGACTGATAACTAGTGTTATTTTATATTGAGAGTCTTAAATGTTTATTGCTCATTGAGATATTACATCCAATTGCTGTACTAGACTAATTTTTAATCTAGTAATTGAAAAGTATATATTTATGATTTAATAAACGAGCCCAAAAAGTATCAACTAGCTCAAAATAAAAACATTAACTCAATCTGTATCCGGTACAGACATCTTACACCTTACAGTATGAACAACCAGTGTTCGAATTCCCAGGAAAATCGAATTTTTGGGCAAAATTTCTTTGGAGAAATTGTTCGGATTGCAAGTTCAAGCATTTGATTTCCGAGATACAACTGTAAATACTTTCGTCTGTCTTAAGTATGGATTCTATTAATAATCTGCAAAACTATAAGTAACGTTAGATGTTAAGTGACGTAAAATGTCAGCAAGTAATGTCCTTTTAATCAGTGTTCAGGATGGAGCTTAATCTCATTAAGAACATTAGTCAGATTATGATGTCCACTAGCTTTGTTTCTCTGCTCTGATAATATTACGAAATCTGTACATTATTTTCCTCCTAAAGATTAATCTCTAGGCCTAGAAAATTCCATTATAAATTTACTCTGACAAACATTAAAACTCTGCTTTAAGTTCCAATCTGAACACCATTGTTCATTGCTATCATAGCTGAAATTTCCACAAAAAGAAAAAGTTTTCAAGTATTCTAATTTCACAAGCAAGAAAAACTTTTTACAATACGTTAGATTATCGTATAGAAAATATTTTAAATGGAATTCACGTTGATTATATAAAAAAAAACTTAACGAGATTATATGTAGAACAACAACAAAAATAAATTAAAATATTTTTAATTACTTGAGAATATGAAATAAATAATATTTGATACGGAGAATACTGTGTCATATGTGGAAGACTTAATTCTTTTCCATATTTTTCCTCCCAATTTTTATACGCCTACAAAAAACAATTAAACATTATTAATCTTTTCATTATTATAGATTTTATATGAAATATTTTGTTAGTAGTATTTAAACTAAAAATTCACCAAAAATGCCTGTTGGATTCCACTACTATCAGCTATATTTTCTGACAATGTTTTACTTCCATTGATCTAGAATAAAAAATTTTAATTAAAGAGCGACAAGAATTTGATATGATGTGCAATATATTATGAAACAATAAATGGGCGTGCAGAGATACACAGATGATTCCCTTTAACTGAGAATTCCAAGTTTCCAATATTCTTTATATTTTTTTATATGTAGAAGGGCAATGAGTTGTATCAGCATTCTTTTTACAGTAGTAGTTAACACAAGGGTCTTATCTTTCAACGCATCGCTCATCATCATAAAAATAAAACTACGAATTAGTTTAGTTTGTTTATTGTACGAATAGTTATGAAGTAAACAACACGTGCTATCGTATTTGTAATATGGTAGAGAAAATGATAAAGCGTTATAAAATGTTATATAGAGCTTTTATATATTTAATATAAAACAGATAAATTTTTAATACAAGTAAAAAATGTCTATATTTTTTGTGTTACATTTATGTTTATTTTCAATTATTGTATTCTTGAATAGCAATCTTCTTTAAAACAAATTATGAAATAAAGACGACGCAATTACAGGTGATTTGATATAAATTTAATGATAGAGCTGATATAATTATAAACCGTCTCCTATCTTTACCATAGACTACATAAGAAATTTCAAAATAATATTTAAGCCAACACTTCCTAGACAAATTCCAAAAAATTTCCTTAATTTAATTATATTTGAGTTTAATACCATATCATAACTAAAATTTAACTAAAGTTTAAAATGTTCTTACTTTGAGATTCGTTTCAGGAATAACATAATTATTATATTTTCCTTTCAGACAGTTTGTACGTTTGACATATTCTTGCTTTGATTTCTCAGTCCACCAGTTTCTGATACTTCCTGTTTCATCTCTCTTACTACCTTTTTCAAGTACAAAGTAAATATTTGATTGATTTCAAAATAAAAAGCCATTTTTCATAATGCAAAAAGAAATTAGAAGAGTATAATTCAACCAATTTAAAAAAAAAAATTATATTTCTACAATCTAAAATGATTAAATTTTATTGAATTACATACAGACTATAATGCATCATGCTGCATATATTATATAAATATATGCAACATGATGCATTATAGAGTCTATGTATAAAATTCATCTGGTACTATCTGTTGTTATATATATATATATATATAACAACAACATGGTACCAGATGAATTTTATTTATTTAAAAAAAAAAACAGATTGTAAATACTAATAAGGAGTAAATTCATCATTAAGACTGATTCCACCCAATCGATGACATGCCTCTCTCATCTCACTCCTTTTAACCACCAAAGAATTTATTTCACGGATGAAACATCTTTTTACGTTCGATTAAAAAGACGGCGTTACATACGTGAAACAAATTTGCCTGGGAACGGAAGGATCCGTGTTGCCAAAATCAAATATTCCTGCAAAGTTCAATGATTTTAATTGTAGTCTTCAGGAAGCTCTTGATGGACGTTCGGACTTTTACTGATAACAGAACTTCTTGAGAATCGTACGTACAGAGATTGATCCAATTCCTGCCTGCAGAGCCACACTGAGAATGGTTAGTAGTTAGGTTTACTGTGAATTTGGTTATGATGTCCGTAGCTGTCTCATCCATTGTACAACTCCTGGACCTCCCATGTTTTAGCGCATCATCCAAGTCATTCATGCGTCAAAATTTAGCTACTATTCTTATGATGATATTATGTTGAAGATAGGACCGATTGGGATGCAATGCATGGAATCGTGCCGCGACATCTCTTGTGCTGCATCCCTGAAGGAAATGTTAAAAAAATCTCGCTTCTCTCTGCCTTCGTACATGTGGCTTTACTGTAGCCAGATGGGTAATGTCAAGTTTAATTTGGGACACCCTAAGTATCTCATACTGCCACACATCGTTTGTACTAAGCTAAACAGTTTAAATACAAGTCTAAAGTAACAAGATAGTCTGCGGAGGTAGTATCATTTGCATAATTACCGTAGCAACGAATACAATACGTCTTTATTACTAATTATTGAAAATCGACATCGGTAATAATTAGTAATAAAGATGCCAGTAGTCCGTCACTAGCAGAGTGGATAAAAACCACTAAAAAGCTGGTGGTAGTTGGTCTGATTGGCTGAACATCGAGTAGTCCGGGGTTTTCTTCACATTTGTAAAAACTTAAATAGGGGTCAGTTACCCCATAAATGTCTTCTCAGGAAGCAGATCACCCACATGTCGCGTTGGAGTAACTAAAACCAATCGACATGTGGAATTATCAAGAAACAAAGCAATTTTGAAAAATCGCTTTGCAATCATACAATCAGGAAATTATCACATAAGTACTGTACAGTACATATGTGATTATGTACTGTACAGTACATAATAAACTGCCCACCTCTCGGGTTAATGTCGTCAGTTAATAAGAGCACCTGACGGTATTCTTGTTCGTTCCTATGGTTTTTTAGAAAATTGTTTAAAAAGCTTACTGTTGATTTTAGCGCATGTTAGCTCTATAGTAAACAGAAGCTGAGCTATTAAACCTTAATTACTGTATTTGTATACTCAGGACCGAGTTTATAATTACTAAATAACATTTGAAACTAAAATTACGGTCTTACAGTGTGTTCAATTCTTTTCGTAGTTGAATGAACACAACCGCATGATAGTCTCGAGATGAACTCCTTAGACAAATCGGGCATGTTTAGAAGCGACTTCCATGAAATATAAGATTTTCCTGAGATATAGTAGTTGTAAAAACATACGAAAGACAGTTCCTATAAAACCTCAAACTTCAATATATATATAAAAAGTCTAAAAATGAAATCTTTATTATTAGGTACACAAAGATGGGCGTATTCAGAAAAGTTTCAGGGAGGGCAAACTATGACAATAACAGCAATAATTTTTTTAATTATTTAATTGAAGGATTTTTTTACAAGTATACTGTAGAATACAATATTTAAAAGCATTCCATTGTCTAAGGTGTAAGGTTAAATACCTAAAATCACGATTATAAATTTGTGGAATTTTTAGTAGTCTATCCCATAGAGCAGTGTTTTTCAACCTGTGGGTCGCGACCCCCATAGGGGTCGCAAAGCCTTATACGAGGGTCGTGGGTAAAAGAAAAAGACAAGTGTTTGTAGGTCCTACACAACAATAAAAAACCTACAATTTCAGTGAGAAGGCTGTGCCTGTTTATTTTACAGTATAATTGGTTTTTCGATGGATATTTAGGTCTCAACAGAAAGAAAATTAAATACGTAGTTTTTAAAATTACCGATATAGTCTTAATATGGCCTTGGGGGTCGCCAGAATTGTTTAACTTGTAAAGGGGTCACGTATTCAAGAAGGTTGAAAAACACTGCCATAGAGGAGCAAATGGCGTCCGCAGAGAGTGAAAATAGGGGACATCTATACAAATGATTACAATCATTTATACAGAAATATCCCGCGTTTTCGACAACTACGCTGATTGACATTAAAATCGTTAATATCTTAAATATAAAAGTGAAACATTACCTTCAATATCGAATCCATGTGTGATTTCATGTCCAATAATAGCTCCAAGTGCTCCAAAATTGAAATACCTATTAATTGATCAAATGTTAAAAAAACATCAAATTTTCGAGTCTATCTCAATCCTTTTTTATACAACACCAGAAGTAACAGTTAACATGGCTTTTTATTGAAGAATAACTTCTTAAAAAACAAAGGTAAACAAGTAAAAAGAGAGATCACTATGTTAAAAACGATCAAGTGTCAGCCTTCTGTTGTAGGTTCTGACACTTGAGATAGACTCGAAAATTTGATATTTTTGTAAATAGTCTAAAACTTCAATTATGAAGAATTATATCCTGAGTTATTACAGAAAGTTAAAAAAACAGTAACATTTTAGTACGTTCATAAAATTAATAAATATTTTCTAATATTTTATACGTGGCTAGAGCAAGATTCCCAATCTTCATTGAGAAACATCCTTAATTTACACACAGTGGAACCTAGCTAACTCTAAATCAGTCGGGGAAAAAAGTTCGGAATTAGATCAAAAGTCGAGTTACGGGGGTTCGGCTAAAAATCGATTTTGGGCATTGTTTTAGGTGAGAATAAAAAATTTACTCACTTGAACCAAGAGAAGGATTTAACTTGCTGATGAAACTAGAGATTGAATCAGTACGATAAGTCCTGTTAATAGACTAATAATAATTAATCTATTGTGACTATAGACGACTACAAGCATGTGTATCGGTTTATCGATAATCCATTATAAACTATCCATATATTTAAAGTGGTTCTTATTACGTAAAATAATCCTGTCAAAGTAAACCTCTGGGGTGTTGTACAGAAAGATAAGCGGATAATTAAATAAGCTACTGAGAAATGTTTTGCCAAATGGTTAATTCGTTAACTCGTAAATGTTTTGCGAGGATTTCTTTTAAATGCCAGTCGACCATTTATAATACTTTATTAAAAGATCAAAAACAAAATTATAATAAATACTTACCAAGGAGCATCTAGATCAAAAAACGGATAATTTAGTACAGCAAGTGGAATATCTATAAAAATAAAATTGCCAATTCAAAGACTTCATACAGTAAACTTCATTTGTAAGTTAACTGACTTGTTTTTACTGTAAATATTCGTCCGATGGAGAAATATTTTTAATAAAATTGAAGACAAAACTTGTCTTGGAACACAAAAAATAATAAATGGTGATCCTTTTTGAACAGTTTTGTCTTCAATTTTATTGACTTGTTTTTAACTGATTTTATTCATTAAAAATTAGTGAAGATTAAGTAATTTGCAAGTTAACCATCTTTTTCAATAAGTTTCAATTGTAGACATCAAAAATATTGAGTTAGAAATTAAATTTCATTACAATATGCGAAATATTCACAATTTGTCCTAAATACTTAAATGACGAAGTCAATCTTACCATAAATACCTTTAAATATGATAATTATTTATGTAAATCAGCATCCTTAAAAACACATAGGTAAGATAAAAAGGAATAAACATCGAAAAACTCATTTAAAATCAGTTTCTTCTATGACACGGTGTATTTCCTTCCAGTCAAATATAAATTCCGCACTCCAGCATAACTGAAAATGTCTCCATTACTTGGCTCTCGCTTCGAAGATTTAATTATTCAAGCATTTAATTATGTTCCAATAAATATAATGGTTCTAAATATAAATGCTTGTAAAGTCATTATTGGATTTAATTTTTTTATGTTTTAAAATATTTTTACAGTAGCATCAGTAGAATGGATTATTTTGATAAGTTGTTAACAATACGATGGGTCTATTACTTTTATTGGTCAATGGTGCATCAGTCAGCAGGAATTCGTCAATAGAAGATTCTACTGTTTCATAACCACACATCGTTATAAATGTTATTCGTAAGGAGGTATTTGTACTTTAACCATTATCTAATTTATTCGTCGCCTCCATTCATTTATATATCACATGTAATTGCTGTAACCATTGCTTCCCAAAATTCCTCGTCCTGAAAAGTGGCTATCTCGAGTAGTGGCTATAAGGGTCTCTGGTATACTAGATATTTCTCAAACTTTCTTGTGATAGTTCCTGAAGAGTGATATAAAGGATGTTAAATAAACCAACGCTAAAACTCATACAGATCGTGTTTAATTGTCATGCAGTTGCTTTGAACGTCGATCATAGTCAAAAACGCTTTGACTTATGAATAGCTCCGCTCAAAAATTAATTTGGGCCTCAGGCCAAGCATACAACTTACGGGATTTAGATTGAAGTCAAAGTAAAAAAGAACTTTCTAAAAACTCTTTTAAAAGATTATACTGAATCATTAAAGGAACACTTACACATTTTATTTCTTTCCAACAAATATGCCGCATTTACAATCGTAGTTGAAAGGAAATTCTCTGGCCAACTGTACAAAAACAAATTATAAAGAAAGCTATAAGCCTATAACAACTTATTTTTAACTTACCTTGTGTTATTTTTTCTTAATAATTTTATATTCTTTTCCAAACGAAACACTTTTAAATTTATGAGATTTTCAGCAAAATCTTTATTCAATGTTGGCAACTTAAAAAGAAAAGAAAAGATTAAAAATAAAATTTTAAAAATTGATACATTTAATTCAAGCGAATAAAATACATACAGATTGATAGTAATCATTCAGTTTCTTAGAATCCATTATCCAAGCTGGGTAATTAATTAAATCTCTCATTGAATGTAACTGGAGAAAAAATAAAAATCTAAAATCATTTCTATTTGATATATTATTATTAATCTGCTTTGTTAGCTGCTATAATAAACTGTTATAAAAAACAGGTGTTAATTTTTATACCTCTTTTTGCTTATTTGAATAAAAAAACTCCTTTTAAAAAAAGTGATAATTTTGATCAAAACAAGTTGTTATTGTAGTAAGTTTTATGGGCATTGATTCATTATAAAATTCCATTATTTGAATTAACCAAACCTAGCTTTATAGTTTCGTTTGTTCGCTTTGCACTAAATACAAATGGCGGATTTCCAAACAAGAAACTACTCATATCCTTTTGGTCTAAGTACATATAGTTCAATAATAATAAAAACAAAAAGGATATTATTATTACCTTTTTTAGGATCGTTGTCAGAGTTTCATTGTCTAGCCATACCGATTTCTTTACCAATTTTTCAAATGCTTCACGAAGGAAAGATATCATTTCAGTCTAAAAAAAAAAATCATCTTTAAAGTTTAATAAAAAAGGTTTAAAAATCTAAAATTATATTTCTGTAATGGACATTAAATCAATTTATTTTTACTTTTATATTAGGAGGAAATTATTTAAATATAAAACAATTTGCATTTAAAAATTAATAAAACCTTATATTCTTAAGTAGTGGGAAAACTGAATAAATGACGTTCCTGTAACTGGAATTTGAATTCACTTTATGGGAAAATTCTTGGCATTGCTTTTTTATTTATCGCCACGGATACAAGAGGTTATATTCCAATTTTCGATTTATTTATTAAAAAATAAAAAAGGTGAAAACTACATGTATATTTTATAATTTTTGACTAAACTAAATCTATAAGCTAAGGAAAAACCACACACTAAATCTTAAAAAGCCACTAAATAAAAACAAACCTGTTTTTGAATTAACAAGTCCGGATCATTGCGTTGTTGTTTTATATATAAATAATCAACAGCAAAACTAAGCGTGTTTGTCGTCAGAACTAAACATGAAATCCAGTAATTTTCTTCAGAAGTATATTTAATAATCTCTCGTTTAACTCTTCTATTGGCTAACTGAACATAAGAAATAACCAGAAATGGATTGCTTAGTATAAGATTTGACCCAATGTAGTTTGCAAGTGCCCTAAAAAGAAAAAAAATGCATTTTAATGTTTACGTAACATACTTTACACAATTATTTTCTAAGCAAGATTTAACGTTACTATATACAGCGTTAGTTACATTAGAGAATTATAATTTAAAACTACTCAAGCCTTCTTTTATGTCGATATAATGAACAGTTCAAAACTAATTTATGTAATCATTATACATTGAAGAAAAACATTAAAAATACCTTTTTGATATGTTTCCATTTTCAATGGAAGACAAAATTGTTGACAAATATATTATATTGTTAACGGCAATTTTATCATCGGGCCTTATGAAGTCATTTTCAAGCGAGTCGTTTGTTATAGTTTGCAATAACTCAATAATATTTACCTACAAAATTTTAAAAAATTTATTACTAAATATTAATAATAAATGACTAAATATTGTCATTAGAAAAAATATATTTTAATAAATTTTTAGCACAAACTAAAATTACCAAGAAAAACACCTTTTGTTAATGTTGTACATACAGAATTAAAATAAACACTACTTTAAGTCCAATGTAGAAAACCTGGCTCTTCCTGGTAAAAATTGAGAAGAGCCAGAGGTGTATTTTAAATCTGCATTGCAAGTAGATACTGCGAGAGTTTTTCCCACAAGAAATAAAGTTTATTTTGGAAAAAGATGTTCCAGACAACATACAAATATGTATACTAAAGAAACGTATCAATATTAGCTCACGAAGTAAAGCATCTGGATAATAAAGACGACAACTATGTTATCCAGTCCTATCTTGTACAGGAATCCTGCCACATGCACTACACAAAAGTCTAATAATATTAGGGCTTTACAATTTCACAATCAATCACACTACAGAACACGAGCAGCACGAAAAAAAAAAAAAACAAAACTTTTACTATAGTCATGCCTTTATTTCAGCATAGCGTCAGGTACATATACAACCAGCTGAGTAGGGTATTCTATTAAAACTAATTAACATTTTATTGTCTGTATTGTATTTACATTAATGATGATTAGGATAATTTTCAAATTTTTGAATATATAACTACTTACCTTAGGAAACATTTTATCCAATTCTCCCATTGTTATTTTAATAGAAGGAGAGTTTTTTGTTGAATTCTAAATCAAATTATAAAATAAATAAATTAGTAAAAAAAGAACATTTTTATAGTCAACTCGAATTCGTAAAATTAAAAATTTAGCAAGTAAATTATCAGTCGAAAACATCTGATTAATAAAAAAATATATATATATATATATTTGGCTGGAAAAGGCTAGAACTGTTTTTATTTAAAGTGAATTTTCTCTTATCATTTTAACATTTTAATACATTTATTTGTTTGCCATAGCCAGTCCCGTCTACAAAGCAAAATTGCATATATATAGTCATGTCTTTCGTACAGAACTCCTTGTGATCATTTAGGCATAGCATTTCAATGATTTAAACTTAAAATAAATTTTAAAAAACCACTTAACAGTTTGAGTGCAACAAACAAGAGATTCGTAAAAAAAAACCATGAAAACACTCACCTGAATAGCATTTGTAATTAATTTCTGCAGTTCAATCATTTCTAGGTAATCATCAGTTATTTTATTCTTATTCTTTTCTCCAAGCATCTCTGCCAATGAAAGCAGTAATAATGCTGCTTCATTATTTGATATATCAATCTTTGTCAATTCTGGCCCATCTAACTAAAATAAGATCCAATTGAAAATCAACAATAGAAATCTTTAAATTTGATTTTTGTAGAATTTTAACGTTAGATCCTTAAAATTGATTTAATTTTCTAATATTGATTGAGAGAGGAAATTTCTAAAAAATATTATCATCTAAAATTTATTATAATAAAATCAGTGTGTTCCAGATTAAATTTTTTTTCTTACTGTTAGCTGATTTTCTGTTTAACTATTATATAAATCTTAAAATGTAAAAAGTATACTTACTGTTACAAGATTTTCCATCGTATTTTCGTCGTTAGGTAAAACTGAAAATTTGATCAATGGCATCACACCCATCTTTTTAATCCCAACAGCAATACCACGAATTATACCGTAATTTCTTTCATTAAAGTGAAAATTACCCAATGGCCAACCTCCTAATTCTATAAGAAGTTTTTTTAGTTCCTTCAAATCGCTATTTTTGTCTTCTAAAAATAAAAAAAAAATTACCAAAAATTTAAAAACTTTTTCTTGCGTTTTTAATAAGTTTTCACTGGCTTGCTCGGTAAATTAAAGAGCATTAATTTTAGAAATTAACACCCGTGTAACCAGAGTTTGATGTTACATGACTAAAAACCAAGTACAGTAATACAGTAATACCTCGACTTACGCGATTTTCAAATCTCGTCGATTCGTCTTTCGTTTGAAAAATGCTCAATCTTTAAAAATTTTCAAGCATCATTCGTAAACGTCAGGGTATTATCGTCGAGATGGAAAACAAAATGTTAAAATTATGGTGTGATAATCAAGTAAAATGTGAAAAATTGGACTGGTTTGGTCACCACTTCATACCTGCAGTCAAACGTTATTGCCAATCTAAACAAATTCCATTTAAAGTCATCCTAATAATCAACAACGCACCGTGTCACCCCCCTGCAACTAACTAATTTTGACCCACGTGTGAAAGTTATATTTTTGCCACCAAATACAACCAGCCTGCTTCAACCGATGAATCAGAGTCATCAAAACATTCAAGGCTTATTACACGAGAAGATCGTTTGCACATCTGCATGAAGCTATTAGACAAAACGAGCTCTCTGTTAAAGACTTTTGGAAACGATTCAATGTTTTAGATGCAGTGAGAATCATTGGACAATCGTGGAACGAAGTTTCACAAATAACTTTAAATGGCGTCTGGAAAAACTGTCCTATCCTTTAAGATTCTATTAAACATTTTTTTCTAAATTATTGTTTTCTTTAGTTTCCGGACCCAATTAAAAATAATTTTTATGTATTTATATGCGAAATTATACCACGACTTACGCAGTTATCGCTCGGTCCCACCTATCGCATAAGTTCAGGGTATTACTGTAATTACAATAAACAGAATAGAATAGGGTATCAAATATAGAGTATACATTATTGGTGTATATACATATTAACTTATATAAGACTTACGTTTAACATTTATACAGCTTTTATAGGCAGTCACTGCTTGCTGTACAGCGTGTGGTAAGTTTGGTAACTTACTTTCAAATATATCTAAAACAAAAATAACAATAAGTCATCATTATTATTAAAGTTTTAAGAATGTACAGTACATTTCAATCCTAAATACAAAATATACAATTCAGAATTTTTATGCTAATTTAATACTTATAATTAAAAGTTCTCTCTTACTTTTTAATGTAGAATATATTTTGAATTGAAGTATTTGAAATTCATTTATTGATTCCGAGATTTTAATGTTTTTAAACCGATTTCCACAGGCAAATTTATAGAAGTCATCACACGGAGACACACTGTGATCCAAAGAAGAGGACAATCTTTCACCTATCAAACAAAATATTGAATTATTGCTTAAGTTATAACTTTATTCGTACAAATTTATATGCAAGTTACTTAAAAATAGCTTCTAGAATAAAAACAAGTACTAGTACATGAAGTATGTAGTAATCTATCAGAGACCAAATATGCAACAACCATTGCATAACAGATTTCTTTCTATTATTATATTGCTATTTAGGTATTTTATCCAAAGAATGTACATTGAGCAAATGCAACGTGCATAACTAACCGGTCGAGGTAAGTCAATCTTTCTGCAAATCAATTCCTTGTGAAATTCTGACCCTAAATGATGTGTAACATGACCCCCTCCCATTTACAGTTGCATTTAAAATTGATGTGTTGCACGCCCGGCCGCAATCTGTTTTCCCTTTGATCTAATGTGTTCATTACCTGAGCGAATTAACTTTGGGTGCATTCTGTATTTTGTAGCAGGGGTGTTAAATGACTTTCTTTCTTACCCTGTATATACTGTATCTTATTTCCTAAATATAACGAGGTAAAAAAGGAATGCAAGTATAATTTATACATCACAATGCGGATGTTAATCTCCGTATTATATAGAAGAAACAGGCAGAACTTTACATGAGATATTCAGAGAGCCTGAAACTACTATAATTCTTAGATATAAACAAAATCACGGTATCATCATGTGGAACAGGTATGAAGAAATAAAATCAAAATTAAAAAAAAAACACTTCCACTAACATATGGTAAAACCGGGTGAGAAGCATATAGATTTATTAACACCTAGAATATCTACAATTAAGCGACCTATACAACAACGTGTTATCCTTTTATAAAAATGAACAAAGTTAAATAAAAACTCCGACAGGTTAATGTTACCTATGGTTCCAAGATGGCCTCGCTTCGGTTAGGTTAGATTAACTATATTTTTAGTATACGTTTCCTTTTTTTATTATTTTGTTCAAGAACTACCATGAATCAATAACTAGTGACGTTTGGCACAAGGCGGTCTGCCGGCGGCTCCACTCCGGGAGGATTCCTTCTAGACCACGAACAACCGGAAGCGCAGCCATATTGGAACAATAGGTAACATTAACCATTTAATATATTTTACGGCACAAATATTATGAAGTTCGAATAAGTATTATAACTAAAAACCTATACAGTCGACCCCCCTATAATTACGGTCCCTATAGTTACGATTCCTATAAAACTACGAAAAAATTGCTACCGGTATCCGTAAAAAATAGTAAAAGTTCCCTATAAACACCTCAAACGTCATCGGGAAGCCGAACTACTTTCCCGCCGTCCGTAGCGCCACGCAACGGAGAGATTTCTATCGTCTGGACAGTATTATATAAATTATATATAAATTAGGTACTGTACATATAATTATATATTAATTATATATAAATTAGGTACTGTATATATAATTATATATTAACTTATTGTAACTTTGTTATAATTAAATATATAATTTCCGCCGTCTAGCGTGGCGCCACGCTACGGAGATTTTTACGCTAACTATCGTCTGTCAGTATGTAAATTAGGTACCGTAAGTCTAATACAGTACTGTAATTTTATACATTTCTTGTGAAAGAAACATTTCTTATTCAACGGCGATTAAAATTATTTATATTAATGATGTCTCCGAAGTTCTACGAAGTTTTCACAGAAAAATAAGTTGTTAGAAATCGGCCGCTCTTTGCTGAGCTGTTCCGCGACGAAAACAATGTTGAGCAATGGCAATGTCGAATGGTGACACTCGGTAAGTAATCCTACAATTTTTTGTTTATAGCGTAGTTTATACGGATTATTCCCAAAAAATATATACGTATTTTGGAAATGTTGAGTCGGATTAGTCTAGAATCGATTAATTTTATGGAAGAAAATCTTTCAAACAGCCGTAGTCCGTAAACTTGACACGTGTCGGGTTGTGATTGGAAGGATTCGTAAGAAAGCGGATTCCTAGAGAATGGAACGTATCTCTATCTTATAGGGGGGTCGACTGTATACTGTACTCAATGATTATCGATACGATTTAATTTACACACTAGAATTATAAAATTTCAATACCTAATTTATGAAATTTGTCTGACCGAGAAATGTTATTGTGAGATTTCAAGTCTTCGTCGTCAGGATGCCATATTTGAAATGGAATTCTTATACTAGTAGTAGTTCGATCTGAAGCTTTTTAAAAATTTCAATACATAAATATTAGTTTTTATGTATAAAAATCAGCTTTTTCAATATCTTACGTTTATATTACATATTTAAATCTAATACATTAAAAAAAGTCATTAAAAACTTACATGTTAATCTGACGACGATTACATATATGATAATAATAGCGATTATAATGAATGCAATAATTTTTAAACACGTCCATTTTAGTCCCGCAGTTGTTCCTTCGTTCCTAGTATTAAAAACGGATATTAGAATTAAGCACTTATTTTTAAAATTAAGCAATTATTTCGGGGTTTTTTAAATGTAGGGTGCATACACAATCCTTAAAAAACTGTTCAATTATATTTCATTAAACATGTTTTTATAAAAACAATTGTAAGTAAACTCTTATAGACAAATTTATCAAATTACTTTAAGAACAACTTGACGTAATTTATTTAACGTTATCCTAATAAAAAATGAAATTAATTATGTATAAAACTTACTCAACACTGTTATCCCGTGTCATTACTTTACAGGTTAGTCATCAAGACTGCGTAATTACAATCAGTTTTTATAATTAAATAGTTTAGAAATTCTTGATTCTATTCAAAAAAAATATTTATCTAGTTAATATATTTTAATTAATTTAAAAAACAAATGTAATTAATTAAACTATAAAAATATAGTTAATATAATATTTGTAGTGAAATAGTGTTAGAAATAATTGATATTTTATGCAAATTTTAAGTGCAAAAAACCCCATGCCTATTTATAAATTACCTAAATTATTTTTATAATTTCATTCTTATTTTACTTATTTACAATGAAAAAATGTAATTAATCTAATATATTTATAGAAATTCATAAATTATTAAATGTTTTTTAATGTTTGTTATCCGAAAATTTTAGTAAAACTTTTCTTACTTTTAGCCATTTATTCACGATTCTTACACGAAAAATCTCGTTTTGTATATATATTTTTTTCTAATAAATTTTATTCCGAATTAAGTTAACATATTATTTTTATTATACGTTTTTACTAAATAAAATATTATTTATGATACTTTCCATATGCTGGAAGTATTTTAATATTCTCTTTCTAATTACTACAGTAATTATAAAGCTTCGGGTTGATATGTTACATAAAATTATAACTTTCTTAATTCTCACTTTAACTTCAAATTTACTTTATAAATTATAAAATAATATTGCTAACTTTGAATTATTTATTGTTTCGATCTACACCAGTGGCGGGTTAATAGACCAGAGATCTATAATAACGTTTGCAGAGGATATGTTCAGAATTTTCACTGTACCTGTTGCTTGGAGGTCTTCGAACACCAGGCATACCTGTAGGTGTTACGCACAGCTTACGGAGTTTGAGGAAGCACGCATCATCGGGTTGAGAGAAGACCTGACTAACGTGCTGTTGGGGGCAGTGATCAAAGCACACATCAAGGTAAACATACACACCGGTAGGTTCTGACGCTCCAGGCAGACGTGACCGTCTGATTATGAGACACAAACACGAACAGCTGCAGTGGCGTTTGTCCATCGTCTAGCGACAGGTGGAAGCTTCGCACAGAACCTGGCTCTTTCCGTACCATTGGTAGATGATAGCCGCTTGATGACGATTGCTAAGCGTTCTACCATTGGCACCCCATATCGTTCGCAGTGCCTTGACTGAGAAGCATCGATTGCTGCGAATAGGAAGAGTATCATTTTTAGAGCTGTATTTTGGAACGACCATCGTGTTAAACTGGATATCCACATAAGCTATTTCATCGTGATCAGCCAGTATATAATTACCTAATTTCTTCACGAATCTCATTTCTAATACCCAATACACAATAGATAAAACATGCATCATATGACTATTTTATCTATTGTGTGTTGCGTGAAATCCTACAGGGGAAACCCCCTTGCCACAATATGGATAGAGGGTACTCCTGTAAGATTTCTATAGAAAACTGGCTTCTATTTAGAAAATCTGAAAACTCCCCGTGGCTTGCTTATTGGTCTGATGCGAGCCCACGACCAGTACCAGTGTTCAGTGGAGTTATCCACTGAATCACTGGTAGGGGGCAACTAAGACTGCCTTTTTTAAATCATGCCTGCCGTGATTCGGCTAAAACCAGGCTAAAACAGCCGGGTGAGGGATGGGGCCGGACGTATTAGGATAGACAATTCATGAAAAATTCTTGAGGCTGCTTGTCTTCATTCGTATAGAAGAGTACGGGAAAAAAGTACCCATCCGGTAGAAGAGAGCTAAAAATAAAAAAGAAAAATATTAAACTGTTTCTTGAATATATACATATATATAATATGCAGATTATAATGTTCCTTCTGATGAACACCTGAGAAGAATTTTTTGAAAGATAATAGAAGGTTTTCGGTATATTTGCTCAGAACAAAAAGATACAAGAAAAATTTTGTAGCAGAATATCTCGCAAAGATCGTTGATTTCTTCTAATATTTTTTTATATAAAGTGATAGTCTACAACGTTAGCAAAATTCTATGTGGCACAAATAAAATCATACTCAGTTCTATTCTTTGTATTGTAATGACGATACCTCTTCAATATACTAAATCTAATATTTTGATCAAAATTTGTAGTTAAAATACGAGATTTTTTTTTAGAACATAGCAAACAAGACGGAAAAAAATGGAATTTAAATGTATTAAACTGTACCTGTTGTTTGCAGGTCTTCCAACACCAAGCATACCTGTATTTACATCGCAGTCAAAGACATTACGCACAGCTTACGGAGTTTCCTTTATAACTTATCGTTCTTGATTTAAATTTTAAGAAACAGTTTTAAGTTATAATTTTACACAAAATTGAAACTAATATATGTATTTAAATTATAAAAAATCATAATGTAAATGCAGAATTTATTTGCTATAAATATGAATATCTTCCACAAATTTTTTTCAAACCAAAAAATTTTTAATACCGAATTAAAGAATGTTATAACAAAATTTTGAACTATTTTTAATAAAATCTAAGTATATTTCTGATAAGAAGCAGATAAAGGCATGCTATAAGAACGTAAGTCGCCAGCTTTCCTTTCTGAGAGATCCGAGATCGAATTCGGGCGGTCGGAAAACTCCATTTTTTCGAAGGTAGTCTGTTTCTTCTAATATTTTTTGTCATACCTCCTCCATATTAACTTGGCTGAACCCATGATGGGTATGATTAAAGCATTCTTTCGATCTTCTACCAAGAAAATCGAAAGAAAAAATAACAAAACATATGCAATTTGTAATTTCAATATTTTCCGAATTGGAGCGATGTGATTAATTATATGATAATATCATAATTTCTTCTAAAAACAACAATAGTGATTGATAGAAATAATGGCTTCTTCTAAGTAGCAAGCTCCTAAATAAGTAAACAAATAGCATAATCCGTTTTTAAGTGGAAAAGATTCTTCTATTATTTTGCTTGCTTAGCTGTTTGTCATTTATCGGATTGTATAGGCTAAGTGAAATCTAAATATTTTGTAAAAAACTTTACTGACAATTATCTCAACAAAGATTATAGTTCAGCCTGGTACGTAATCACCGTCAATGTCAATATCACATCTCGCCATCTTTGCTACAAACTTTCAATTCCGTGAGCATGGAATGACGGGTTCTTCTTTGATGTCTATAGTATTGTCATTAAGCTGTATATTGGCAACAAGGTTCTTCAGGGAGTGAAATAGATGGTAGTCAGTTGTGCCAAGTATGGACTATAAGGTGGATAAGGCAGAATCTCCCAGCCCAGATTAACCAGTTTCTCTAACGACATCGTCGCTCTGTTACTGCAAAGCAACACTTGGGCGAACTGCCAAGGAGGATGCCTTCCGGGAGGTCTTTCTAAGGGTCCCTATTTGGGTGTTACAGACATGGAGAAAACCCGGAAAGCTCCACGTGGCCATCCCACGACTGAACCCACGACTGAACTCCCAGTATTCAGGGAACGGAACCGCTTTGTGGGCCTTCAATGCATTTGAGATTTATGTTTAATTGTATTAATTATTTCTTATAGGAAACAGAAATAAACATTCTACTGTATCTGTTTTTAAACAGGTGATATTAAAAACAATTAAAGAGCAGAAAAAAGAGTTTGAAAACCAGAGGGAATACCTAATTAATGTATGTTAAATCTCCCTAAGAACGTTGTAGAATTGTCAGACATATCACTGAGAATATTGTATTCAATTTTGAAGAAGAAGATTAAATTACATTTATTCTTAATACTAAATATGCTGTGCATAAACTTTAATAAAATATTAAATTTTTTAAGAGGACCTATTACTAAAAAAATAATTGACAACAAATGAATTACAGAAATTATTATTAATAATAGTTATATCTATTTATATGCAAAATATAATTTTTCTAAACTTTATTGTATAAAATTATGAATTATCTTTTTAGTATAATGTAATGTTAATTTGTAGAATGTTTGTTTGTTCGCAGATAGAATTATAGAATTATTCAACTAAACATTTTTAAAATAATTTAAATGGCTTTTCAGTCTCTGTAAACTATCATTACTATTGAATTTCTCTCTCCATTTTCCTTTAAGTAAATAATTTTACTTTTTATACATCTACAAATTTAGATGAACACTAATAATAATAAGATGTATCTTTTTCTTGAATGTCCATAATTCTTAGAAAATTATGAAGGACTACTGTTCCTATAATGATATGTTCTGCTGCTTTTAAGTCTGTAATAATAGATAAATTTGCTATCTTGCAGCCAGTATTTCAAATGTATTTTCAATCACTCTTCGAGCACGCGATAGTCTATAATTACAGACTGACCTTTGTAATGACTCATCAGATTTCGCAATAGAGATAAACCCTCATCAGTTGCAAATACATAAGTAAATACAATATTAGTCTGTGGAAGATAAGCAGTACCTAGAATATTAATAGTTCAATTCTTTATACGTCTCCCAAATGTTGAACCTAATACACAATATTCCGAGCACACTCTGCAACTTCACTGATTCCTATATCATCACCATTGAGTACAGTCAAGATGAGAATGTGTGTCAATGTATGCCAATGTGAGTACACAATAGATACAAGAGTTGCGCGTACGCTTAGATTAACAATGCTCATCTGTGGCACATTTACAGTAGTGAGAGCAAGGCTTTAAGCTAAATTACTGTAAGCACTAAAGCATATATCTTAGCCTTAATATGCTGATACCTCAAGTGAATTAATCAATCTATCTATTTTTATTTTTATAAATTTACGTAAAAAGTACAGTGTCATACGTAAAATAAAAAGTATATAGGGCTACTAAATAATATAGGAAAATATTCGCATTAGCGAGATTATATTCCTATTATTCATTCATAAAGGAAATGAAGAAAAATGTAAATTCTTCATACTTTAAAGGCATCTTTTATGTATTATTTTTGTTTTTAGCAAGAATATTTAGCAGTAAAATGAAGAAAACATACATTTTAGACATTCAGATTAACGTAGGTTCGGATTAGCAAGAGAATGGTGTTTATTGTATGAAAACATATTTGGCTTTTTGGCATTATTCAAATTAGTATGAGCATGAATCCTGCTGCAAAGTAAAATAATAAGGGTGAAAACATTAAGTCATATCTATT